CGACTGCCTGCTTGCAAGGCAGGCACTTATGCCGCTGAGCTAAATTCCCAGCCCCCAGATACACTTTTGAAAGCAGCACCAAGAGCTGCTAAGCTGGGGACTGCAGGCGCATGTCACCATGCTTGGCCCCTGGTCCTCCACACTGCTGTACTCAAAGTGAGGAGCGAGTGAGTGGAGTAAGAAGGACAGAAGCAAGAGAAGAAAGGAGGAGGAGAGGGAGGAAGGGTGGATGGGAAAGCTCCTGCAATGTGGGGAACAGGGAAGGAAGCCCTTTAATCTTTTATTCAGCAAATATATATTGAGCACGTGCTGAGTGGCTGACTTCTCCAGCTGCGTGTTGCTGTCTACGTGTGTGCATCAGTAGCCCATTCTGCGGTGGCCCTGAGGCCTTGGAGAGGCAGGGCTGGGAGTAGTTAAGTCCACAGGCTCAGTGGTCAGGCGGGTGGGCTTGGAGTTCCTAAGAGGCACGCATGCCTTCGGAGAAGTCACATCCCCTCCCGGAGCCTTACCTTCCCCATTATAAAGTGAAGTTAGGACTAGAAGTGCATGGCAGGGGACAGCACTGAGACACGTGGCTGCCAGCCAGAGCCGCTTTTGTCCTCTGAGTGCATTCTATCCTCTCTCTCCCTTTTCCTCCTATGCAGCTTCAGTCTCAACCTGCAGCCACAGTTCCTCCAACTGACTGGCCTCCAGAGGGCCCTGAAGACCCTGCAGCTGCTCTCTGGTGGACACTTGCTTTGGGCGATGCTAGCCAGTCAGGAGCCGAGATCCAGAGACCTACAAAAGCAGGCCAGGGGTGGAAAATGGGGTTTCCATGATGATGGGCAGGAAGGCAGGACCCGAGGGGGCTGCAGGAGGACTGAGAGGGCCACCCGAGAGGCAGAGACTGCACACCCAGCTGGGAAATGAGAAACTGCTACAGTGACTGGTGGAATTCCAGTTTCAGGGCTGGTATTCCAGGGTCCTTTGTCACAGGGGTTCTCTGTTTTCCAGTGGTCATGCCCCGTTGCTCTCACATAGCCCCGAGCACGGAAGACAAGTCCTGCGGCCTAGGGCCTTCGCTGTCCCTCTGCTGGAGCCCAGCTAAGCCCAGCAGCTTTATTTTTTCTAATTTCCAAGCCAGTGGTGTACACCTGCCATCCCAGCTTCCCCAGTCTGAGGCAGGAAGATCATAACCCAAGTTCAGGCCCAGCCTGGCAAGTTAGTGAACCTTGTCTCAAAATAAGTAAGTAAGGTAGGGGAATATAGCTCAGTGATAGAGCACTTGTTTAACATGTATGAAGCCCTGAGTTCAATTCCTAGTACCATCAAAAACAAAAATTACTCCCTTTCTTGCCTGAATACAAATATGGTTCATTTCAGGCGAGCGTGTAGTGTAGCGGGTAGTAGCAGGCCTCTGATCAGATAGCCTGTGTGCAAGGCCTGACTTCCTCTCATTAACTGGTCTGCCTTGGGTAGTCTATTGATCTCCACTGAGCTCCAGTTTCTTTCTTCGAAAAATAAAGATAATAAGTTCCTCCCTCATGAGATTGCCAGGAGGAGCAGAAGCATAATTCCTGTAAAGTACATGCATGGGGCCTGTGCTCAGTAAGGGCCTCCTGTTAGCGACTGACAACATGATATGTAAACAAAAAGAGTTTAGGCATCTTCAACCCAGGCTGCCAGAGCCTTTAGAGAACTATGGGGTGTGTCCCTCTACCCTTGTGGCTCCTGCTGGGGCCCTGACCAACCTGATGCACCTTTCCCAAATGCTCAGCAAACAGTAGGAATTGATCCTGATACCTTTTCCAGGGCCTGGGCCATGGAGGAAAAGGGAACCCAGGACAATAGACTCAGTTACTGAGGGCCCAAGGCTAGGATGTTTCCTGGGGTGAGGGGGAGAGTGTGGAGTAGGTGTGGTCAATAGGAGTGTCAATCATGACACACATGACACAGTCAAGCTGGAGGAAGGAAAATCCGGTTGAACGTCAAATAATGTTTTCAGAAACGGACTGTTGAGAAACTTTTGCAGAGAAGCCTTATTAATGCAGAAAGGTGGGAACAGTGCCCTTCAAGGAAGAACCAGGGCATTTCACCTTAATAATGCACAGTATTGTCAATGGTAACCATCTATCCTGTGCTTTCTATATGGCAACACCATCACTGAAGCCTTTTGTGCACTAGCTTACTGAATTCTTTAAACAACAAGGTAAAGTGATTGTTTCCTTTGGGGAAAAGGAAAGGAGGGGCTCAGAGATGTTAATTCTCTTTGCCCAAGGCAACTCAGGGAGCCAGAACTCATATACCTGCTCTCAAAAACAACAGTAAAAGTTCCTGTGGATTCTACAGCCAGGTACCTAACCCAGAAAATGGGGAGACCTAGGGACCTCAGACCACTGCACCTCATTTCCCACAGTGGCACTCTTGGTGACTGAGGCCCCGCTGCTGTATTGGCTAGGATGGAGGTGGGGGCAGCAGGCTCAGGTATGTGGTTCTGAAGGGCCACCTCCAGGGCTGGCCCTTCTGGGCACTGTCCCTTCCAGGGCAGATCTCCCACCTGTGGCTTCCCCGCCCGCCCCAGACACTTCTGATAGTTAAGCTACCACCCAGGCACGCTATGGTCCACAGAGGCCTATGGCCTGACTAGGACTACTATAGTGGCAGTCGATGTGACTTTGTTCCCCTTTTCAGTGACCAGGCTCTGTGAGGGTTGTGATCAGTGGTTGATCTCTCTTTCCTTTTGATGTCCACAGTGCCTGGGGGTCAACTTTCTTGCACTCCTATCCCCAACTTATGACATCTCTAAACTTGTGGTCACATTTTGGGGTTCACTGTCAGAACCAGATAAGAAAGACTGCTTGACTTTCTCAGAGACTAGAAGAAATTAGATGTCATCAAGGCCCAAACCAACCCCCGGGGGTTGGCATAGGGCAGCCCAGTGCTGAGGCAGAGTGGGCGCCCACTGCATTGAACCTGCCTCACTCAACATTTCCTCCTGTGGACAAGTGACCTGTTGTCTCTAAGCCTGGGACTTGGTCAAGGAAAGCCGATGAGGACTCTTCCTCCCAGGGTTACTGCACAGGTACAGGGGCCCATCCGTGAGGTATGCATGCCCTGGACCTTGTGTATGTCCAGTAAATGTTACTGCTTGCTATGGAGGACAGAAATGGAGTTACCCCAGACGAACAGCCTTCTTTGACCACCCTGTTCTTCCATTTATTCTTGCTCAGGGCACCATTGTTTCTTCTATTCAGTTTGTCACTATAGTACACACGTGTTTACTTGTCCAGGACAGCAGGCACTGTTCAGTTTACCACGGCCCGATCACTGGCACCAGTAGCGAGAGGACTGTCAGTGTCCAGTGACAGCTCCTTCCCCTGTCTGCTCCAGGTGGAACAGCTCTTTGTTTAGAGAACAGAGATTTGAGAGGTCCCCTAGGCCCCTCCTGAGATGACTGTGGTGGGGAAGGGCTGAATGCTGTCAGTGCCAGCAACAGAGTAGCTGGTGAGGAGCTGGCTGGTGCCAAGGCTGGTTCTCACACTCACCTGGAAGGCCGTGTCCACGATGGGCGATGGCATCATTCTGAACTACTTCTGCCATCCACACTCTGCAGCTGTCTGGCCTGTGTTCTCACAGCACGCCGCGTGGTGCTGTTTAACCTGGGCTGGGCCTGGCTTTTGGGAAAAGTTACCTCTCTGCTTCCTATTTTCTGCCAAGTCTATCTGCTAGGTCTCACCTACTTCCTGTCCTCAACTGAAACCAAGACCTGTCAGCCCTGGTGGACCTGTGGGCCTGGGTGAGGGAGGCACTTCGAGTCCACATGTGATTCTGTTGATATTTCCAGATTAAGGGCCAGAGTTCTGGACTGGAGCTGCTGGGGGAAGGGAGGCCAGGCTGTAGCTCAAGGTCCCAGCCTTCCCCTCACCCACCCCACTTTCCTTCTTTCAGCCTATGTTTCTGGTTCTGTCAGTCAAATAACCCTGAAGCCCAAGTCCCAAAGTCTCAGGCTGAACCATCCAGGGAGGACCTCTCTTCATCACTCACGGGCAGGTGAGAAGAGCAATGGAAGACATTTGCCTTTGGAATCCCAGAGCCTCTTGGCTCAGTGTGACCTTGGCCAGTTAGTCTCATGGAGCCTAGGGTTGGAGGTGTAAAATGGCTAACAGCCCTGACTTCAGGTTGGTGTTGACATGGTTTGAGAATGTGTGCATAGGGCTCTCCAGCTCTTAGCTCATGAATGGGGCCTGTAGTTGTGTACCATCACAGCTCCAGCCTGGGTCCAGCTCCAGGGCAGTGCCAGTCTCCATCACAAGGTGATTCTGAAGCAGAACATCAACCCCTCTTTCCTCCCCTGCTGCAGCTGCAAACATTTTGTTTTGCCATTAGAAGTGACTTACTTAAGGGAAGCAGAATTTTACAGGCAGTTTACAGGCAGGTCTTGTTTAGTAGTTTCCAAAAGCCAGGGGAGGGGGAAGGCGACCAATAGCCCCCATAAGTTGGGATGGAAGGGAAGTGAAAAGTGAGTCCTGTGTGATGGCCACTTTCTCCAGCCCAGCCAGGCCAGCTGGGTGCCCCGCATTAGGGTGAAAGGCAGGGGGAAGCTCAGGCTGGGTAGGCTCTGATGGTAAAGGCCAAAAGGAGAAAGGGCAACCCTAGCCCTAAAGAGGCTCTCCAGGGCCCCCACTAACACATTCTGGGCAGTCAAGGGCCCCGTAATTCTCTGGGGGCCTCGAGAATCATCACAGACACAGCTTTCGAAAGCTTGCAGAATTCAGAGCCCAAGTGTGTGCATGTGTGTGTGTGGGGGAGTCTTTCTGCTAGGCTGCCGGTGCGGCTGTCCAGAGGGTGTGCAGGAACAGCGGGAACAGAGAGAGGAGTGGAGAGACCTCCGAAAGCTGGGACTGGGCAGGTCAGGAGTGGTGGGCTGCCTGGGTTCTTCCCAACTCCCCCTGAGCTTGGGTGACACAGTTCCATTTGTCAGCTTCCCTTTTCAGCCAAATGAAGTAGTCGGGGCCCAGCAGTGCTTCAGCACGCTCGGACTATGGTTTTAATAGACGTACATGGACAAGTCGATATAGACAGATTTATAATTCTATACAGTCAGTCCAACATACACAGGGACGCTGTAAACAGGGCGCGGGCCGGAGAGCGGGTGTGCAAAGTGGGCGCGGGGCCCTGGGGCCGCGCCCTGTGCTCTCCGGGCTCGACTCTTGCACGGATGCACGGAGGACAAGGAGGGGGCTGCTCGCCGGGGACAGGGGTCACCTACTGGACTAGGAGTAGGGCCCAGGGCTTCGGCCTGCAGCTAAGCTCCGGGCTGGGCTGCTCAGAGATGAGCACTCCCTGTCCTCCTGCCTAGTCCGCTCGGCCAGCTTCGGCTCCGCGGCATTAACATAGGCGTACGGGTGGCAAGGGTGCTTCGGGCTGCACCTCCGGCTGCACCAGCTGACCGTTAAGTACCGGACCCGGGGGCGCGGGGGAAGTCATTCCCAGCCCCAAACCTGCTCCAAGCCGAATCCGATTGGAGCTAAGGTGCGCTCGGCCGGGCTTGGTTCCTGTGGGGCCCAGAGGGAATCCCAGGCCCATCCAGGCTCCGCATATTGAATTCGAAGGCTGCCGCTCAGGCTGGGCCGTGGGATGCGGGGCGTCCTCTCCCGCTGCCCTGCTAGACGTCTGCTTTCGGTGCCGCTAGGCTCCGCAGAGTGGGCCGCCGGGGCCTGTGGGAACGAACACACACCACCCGCGCCATCCCGAGGGAAATTGCAACTCATCCTTTTTTTTTTTTCTCGGCACTTTGCTCCGATTTTTTTGTGTTGTTTTTTTGTTTTTTTGGAGGGCAGAGTGGGGGCCCGGAAAAAGAAACACAAAACCAACCTGGAGGTGGGGAGGTGGAGAGAGGGGCTACGCAGGCGCGAGGTCCGCGGCGCGCGAGCCGAGCCCAGCGTGCGTCCTCCGCGTCCGCCCCGCCCCGCCCCGCGCCGGCGGCGGCTTGCGTGGTCCGGCCGGGCGGTCAGCTGTTGTACTGGCACGCGTTGAGACCCGAGGCCGGGCCCTGCAGGCCGCCGTAGCCGAACGACGAGTGTTGCTTAGACTTGAGCCGGAGGCTGGCTAGGCTCGAGTTGCACGTGTCCCGGTAGACGCTGTAGGGCGAGGCGGGTGTGCCGTAGGGGCAGGCGCCGGGTGACATGGCCGAGTTGAGCGAGGAGCCGGTGAGGTTGTTGATGTTGTTGAGGCCCGAGTTGGGCATGCCGGGCACGGCGCCCGGGCCCATGCTGGACGGCATGGTCATGGAGGAGATGGAGCTGGGTGCCGAGAACATGGACTGCGACGACAGCGGGCTCATGGAGTTGAAAAAAGTGAAGCTCTTCGTGGAGAGCGGCGCTGGCGCCAGGCTCTTGGCTGCCCAGTTGTTGTAGGAGTAGCCGGCGGCGTACACGTCCTCGTAGGGCTGCACCAAGCCGCTGAACTGCGGCACGTATCCGCCCTTGCACAGGTCCAGCTGCTGGTTACGCTCGCGCTTCCGCCACTTGGCTCGCCTGTTCTTGAACCAGACCTGGGAAGGGGGCGGGAGAAGGGTCAGGGCTGCCGAAGGCGGGAAGGGCCCCTCATCCCCGCCTCCTCCCAGCCACCCGGAGCCCTCCTTGAGCTTCCTTCTCTCCAAATCCCGTTTCTTTTCTTCCACCGACGTTTCTGCCCCCTACCTTCTCTCCATAATAGTTCCTCTTTTATCCCCAGGAAAACAGTTTTTTCTTTTTCTGATCCTTATCTTCTTACCCAAATTAAATGTTTCTTTTCCCAGTAGGGATTCCTTTTTGCTTTAACACATACTCTTTTTCTTCCTCTTAGTTTGCTGTCTTCTCTCTCAAACCAGCCCCTTTTTATATTCTAAATATTCCATTAACTTCATTTCTTCTTTCTCCGATACTAAAGGTGTCTTCTTCTTCCCTGAAACACAGGACTCGGCCGCTCCACTCCTACAATCTAATTTCGGCACTCAGTCCGTTCTCATCTTTATTGGCAATGTTTGTTATTTTCATTTTGGCCCAAAATGTTTATTCCTACCTGAACCTCTTTCTTTTTCCTCAATCTATTTTGTTCTTTATTCCGTATTTTTTATCTTTTCGATTCTCCCCACATATTTAGCTTTTTTCTTTTTTTCAAATATCTGACCTTCACTGTTTCTCTTAAATAGCTGATTCTGTTTCTGAATGCTTGATCCTCTTGTTTATCCCTTAAGTATTTAATTTCTTTCCTGCCACCTAAACATATACCAAATACATTTCTCCGAAAATTTCATTATCTTTCGTTTACTTATTTCTTCCTAATTTTTGTTCTCTCCTAAAATTTGTTAAAAAACCTCTTCTTTCCCAGAGCCTTCTGGATCCTTACCTGTCAGCCCACTCAATGATGGTGCCCTGCGCTGCTCCCCTTAACCCTTCTCCAGCCCAAGGCTGTTTCCCCTCAGTTTACCCTTGGGAGCCCTGCATCTCAGCTTTCCCCAAGCTCCAGGACAGACTAATGCCACCTCCTCTCCACCCTGCTGCTGTGAACCTCAGCAGGATTAGTGAGTTCAACGGACTGCTGTGCAGTGTCTCCACTCCAAGTCCCTCGGCCATGGCTAGCCTGACCCGGAAAGGGTGAAGATGGATTGTAACGGAGTCAAAGGGCCAGGTGGGACTTTGGTCTGACTTTGGAGGTACTCCTAATATCTGATTAAATATTTGTTCACTCAGCAAAGAAATGATTCCCTTGCTCCTCTGTCAGGAAAATGTTGTGTTTACCAAAAGTCAAATGGTGAAATGAAGGAGAATACAGTCTGATCTTGGGTCTGAGACATATCCCAAAAGGGGCTACTGGGACAGCCACTCTGCTATCAACCCCTACCCCACCCAGGGTGACCCCCAGATTTACAGTAATGGATACCATAAGGCCAAGGATTCAGCTAGTGCTTGACTGGATGGTCAGTGAAGGTGGAAACTATCCTCAGATGCTGGAGAAGTGCAGAATAAAGCCACTGCTCTAAGAAATTTGGGACCCAAATCCAAGCACCTTTTGGGCCTCTTTGAGGCAACCAGGCAAGACCTGTCTTTCCCTTTCGTTTTTTTAGAGGAAGGCTGCTGAACTCGAGGTCCTTTGCCCACTTTCTGGCCCTGAGTATTCCATAACATGCGAGTGAGTACTCGCCTCTTCAAGGCAGGCGTGACAGAGTCCACCAGAGCCACAGCCTTCCTGGGCCAGGTGAGAAGAACTGGGAATTTGCAGCAGCCAGAGACGCTAGCAGCCTAGGGGCCTAGCAGACCAGGGGATGGTTAGGGTCTAAGGTGGGGGTCTTGGGTGGAGGGAGGACGCCAGCTTGAGTAGTGGGAGAGTGAAAGTGTGATTGCAGTCTTGGCTTCTGAACTGTGCAGTCTCCTGCCCTGCTGCCCTCTACACAGGCCCCCTTAGACGCGCGTCCCTCGCTCACCCGCACTCGCGGCTCCGTGAGGTTGGTCCATACGGCGATCTCCTCCCTCATACTCATGTCTGGGTAGCGGTTCCTCTGGAACGTGGCCTCCAGCTCTTGCAACTGCTGGCTTGTGAAGTGCGTGCGTTGCCGCCGCTGTTTTTTCTTTTTGGCTGGGTCCTCAGCGCCGCCGCAACCCGTGCCGCCCGCGCCACTGTCTTCTGGCCCCTTGGCTTCCCCGCCGCGCTCCTTCTCTGCAGCAGGCAGGAACGGGCGCGGGTCACCTCGGGCTTATGCCCTGTTGCACCCGGTCCCGGCTCCACCGAAGCGGGAAGCGCCGGCGGTCTGTGCTGGCTGCCCTCCCTCCCGCCAGGGGTCCTGGGAGAGGTCCCTATTTCCAAGAGCTGTCTGGGTGCTGGTGGCTGGTAGGCACCACAGGTCTGGCGTGCAGCAGAGAAGAGCTCAGGAGCCAGAGCCGCAGGCCTGGGTTCCTGGCTCGGCAGGGCCTGCTCTCACGGCTCGGCTCAGCCTCTGGCCCAGCTGCTGCTGTCACCCACAAATGCATAGTTTTTGCGGGCGCTTTGGGTTGTAAATCTGAGGGAAGGAGGTGTCTGAACTACGAAAAGATCTTTCCGACTGAAGATAGTGGTTAGTGGGGTCTGCGCCAGGTGACCTGAAACCTCTCTACTTATTTTTCTCCCCAGGGCTGAGTGGAAGCGCCAGCACGAGGGTTTCCACCTAACTTGCAGGCCTCCCATCCCAAGGCATTTGAAAACTCCCCAGCTGCAGCCTAGACAGACGTCTGTAAGTTACTTTGGGCTTCAGCTTTTCTTTAAAGTTACACAAAACACATGCAGCCATAGAAACGTTGAAACATAAAGAAAAAGAATTTAAAAACAAAACACAGAAGCTCAGAAAAGCTTACAGCTATCTGTCTAAAAACACAGAAAAGGTCACAAATTCTCAAAAACAGGCAGGTAGAAACAAAGCAAATGTAAATGAAGAAGCCAGAAACCTTCATACAAACACACCTCTAAATACAAAGCCGTATGTGTTTAAACTCCATGCAGGCAGACACATTTATTTCTCTGGGATTTAAAAAAAAATCTGCCTATCATTGTAGATGAATTTTGAATGCCTTCCCAATAACACTCCTGTAGACATAATGTTTAAATCTTGGAGAAACACAGCATTCTATTTAGATGATTTAAATTCCCCAAGTAACACCGCTGTAAATGAATTTTGAGAAAAGTTCAGAGAAATACGCCATTTTGGATTGACTTTTTAAAATCTCTCCAGTTTTGCATGTAGATATTTTGAATTCCAGAAACATACATCTAAGATAGTAATTCTTTCAAAATAAAAATACGTTTAAAATTATTAGTTCATATTGATAAATTTGGTTTAAAAAATCAAACTATAGCTATGTTTGTTTTTAAAATAACCAATTAAACACCACGCATAAAACTTTTGAAAACAAAAGTACAGTCCAGCCTTTATTATCTCTTAACCAAAACAGGTAAGATCACTTAGACATGCAAAACAGAAACAAATAGATTAAAACTGCGGAGAGAAACATTCAGCGGTGGATTAAGAAATGAGCGCAAAAGAAGCGCCCGCGGCCTGGGAAGCCGAGACGCCGAATCAGGGCTGCGAAAGCGGGAGCCGCTCGGAAAGTCGAGCGGCCCCGACTGGCCAGGGATTCACCGTGCCACTGCCCGCGCCACACGTTCCGTGGCTCAGCTCGAGGCTGGGGAAAAGGCTTGAGCTCTGGGTCAAAGAGCGCGAAGAGAGACGTGCCCAAGCCCAGAAGGGCCTTGGCTGGATTGCTGTTGAGCTCCGGCCGCGCACGTGGACCGGGATCTCTGGATCCGGGTTCCGCCGGCTTTGCTGGGAGTTGGGACGCACCCCTTTTGGCCCGCTCCCCTTCGCTGTCCTCTGTATCTTCTTTTTACTTGAGGTCCCCCTCTTTACCCCTCAATTTGCTTTACCCGCCCTCCCCTGCTTTTGCGTCTCTCCCTCTCAAACTGCACCCCTCCCTAGCCGATCCAGTGTCTGCCCCTTTCCCTCTGGGGCACTTTCTCTGGTCCAGTCACCCACAGCCCCTAATCGGTCTGTTTCTCGCCTTCCATTCAGCAGCTCCTCAGAGCGCCTAGTTGAGCAAAACCAACTTTTCCTCCTCCCGTTCTCTTTGCCCCTGACCAAGATAGGCTGTCAGTCCAACCCTCCGGTTGTAGGCTGGTGCATCCGCCAGTCTCTTGGCGCCTGGGAACCGCCTGGAAGTGCTTTCGCATGTGTATTTCCACGTTCACCATCAGGTTGAGACCGGGGAAAAGCAAGCTCCTGACTTTCCCGGAGCGGAAAAGGAACCTGGCTCTCGCGGCGCGAGCGCCAGGCCCTCCCATGGCTCCCGCATGGGCTCGGTGAGCGCCGCGCGGCACCCCGCGCTTACCTGGCAGCTCCGTGTCCGACGACTCGCTGGCAGAGTTCTCGAGCGGCTCGCGGGGGTCTGCGGTGCGGGCCAAATGGAAGGCGGGCCCCATGTCATGCGGTGGCGGTGGCGGCGGCGGCGGCCGGAGCCCCTCCGGCAGCCGCTCCAGGCTCATGCCCCCTTTGAAGGCGTCCATGGAGGTGGGGACCGCAGCGGGCGCTCCGGGGGCCGGAGCTGGGCGCGCCCGACCGCCCAGGCTGCGACCTGCGGGGACAAGAGCGTGGCGCCTAAGCGGCTGCCCCCCAGGGCTGCCCGCGCCCGCAGCGACGCCGCGCCCGCTCCATGGACTGCCCTGGGCTGCGGGGCCGGGCGGGCGGCGGCGGATTTTCGCGACTGGGCGCTTGGCTCCGCGCTCCGCACTGCGCTCCCGCCGCTCGGGCCTCAGCCGCCCGCCCGGCCCCGACTTCGGCTCAGGCTCCCGATCCGGGGCCGGTTTCTAAGGCTCCGGACCTCGCCGGCAGGGTCTGTCTTAAAGCGACAGCGCGCACCGCCAGGTTCCAGCAGTCCCTGCGCCAGGGGTGGTGGGTGGGGTGGGCTGGATGGGAGGGGGCTGGGGAGGGCGGGCGGCCGCGAGCGAGCGAGCGAGCGAGCAGCGGAGGAGCGCGGGCGGAATCCAGCCCCGAGCCGCCCGCGCCGCCGCGCCCTCTCCGCCGCCCTCCCTCCCTCTGGCCTCGCCCGCTCCCTCCCCCTCAGCAGCCACCTTCCCGCCGCCTCCCCGCCCCCCGCGGCCGCGCCTCGCCTCTCCCTCCTTCCCGGGTGACACACCGACTTCTCCCTCGGCCTCACAAAAGAAACGCTCGTGCCCACCTTAGGCCCCAAATGACTTGTTTCGCTTTGAGTCAACTCCTGTTTGGGCCTCCTCGAAGTCCCCAGCCGCAGTCAGAACAGCCCAGGACTGCAGTGCGTTCGCCGAACAGGATCGCGCGGAGCGGGCTCCTCCGAGCCACAGCGCGGGGCGGGGGCAGAGCCCGGGCCCGTTCCGGCAGCTCCCGGCGGCCGTGTCCTCGTCGAGGGGCCTTCGGCCCCTCCTTCCCCGGCCTCTTCTCCCGGGAACTCGACCCGGCTGAGTGACAGCAGCCTGCGCTCTAATGGGCCCCCGATGTTGCCTCCTAATTAGCTTGGACCCTCTCTCCCCTAAGGCCGCTGCTCCTCAGGCCTCTCTCTACACCACAGTCAATTTTCCGGGATTGGGATAGAAATGATGGCTTCTAATCAGACAAAACGTTTCTCCTGGCTCTAGGCCGCTGGCGAGTTCAGCGGGAGACCCCAAGAGCCCAGCCAGGCCCCATTGCCTTTTCCACCTCCTTTGTTTTGTGCCTTCTCAGGCCAGTGGGGCGCTGGCCTTGGCAGCCATAGGGTTGGCCTTGGCAGCTTCTTTGCTGGGGGTAGGGAGGAGGAGTTGTGGTCCCGTTTCCCAAGGGTTCAGCCACAGGCAATAGGCCGGGTTACTGCTGTCTCCCAGGTGGGGTGGCAGCTCAGAAAGCCTTCAGTCTTCTAGGTTCCATTACAGAGTGGTAGTAAGGTGTGGCTGGCTCCAGGAGGCCCTGGCCGGCTGCAGGTAGAGATATTACCCTTACAGCTCCCAGGAGTGATCCCTCCTTAAGTTCTTCGGCTTCAGTGAAGTTTGTCAAAGGATTTTGCTCAACAATTGTTAACTGGCCCTGAGACATCTGCATCTTGAGCAAACAGGCCATAGCTGGAGTCATAGGGCATGGCCCTGACCTGCATCTCTGGCCACAGCCGGACTCTAGGTTGCCTCTGCCCCTCACCTGCTGACCAGCTCCACCAAACAATGGCCTGGGGGGAGAAGAACTTCCCTATTCTTTAGGCCTAATGCCCTTACCTCAGAAGGCAGGGCATCCTCATCTCCTGGGGTATCTGCTTGGACTGACTACTGTATGGTGTCAGCATCTGGTGGTGGTGGTGGGGTCCACAGGCTCTGTCTTCAAGACTTTCCCTAACCCCCTGCAGAAGGAGGCACCCAGGTCCCAGGCTGAGCCAGATGGTGTGGACTGTGGAGACACAGGCAGGCACACAGGGTGGAACTCCCTGGCCACAGCCAGAGGAGCCCAGTTCCAGGCTTTGGAGAGAGGGGATAGCTCTTTAGGGCCTTGCCAATGTGGCACATGTGTGCCCACAGCATGCTGTTATCACTGAACGCTCTAAGCAGTTTGTCACTGGCCTGGCCCATTTTCACCTGGTGTCTGTGACCACAGGAAGCAGAGGCTAAGGCATACATAGAGAGGATGCTTCCCAGGAAGTCCAGTTAGGTAGGCACAGGGACTCCTGCCTTCTCCTTTCAAGCTGAGATCCCTAGGATGAAATTCATCTTGATCAGGGGAAGAGGGACCTGGGGAAGCATCATTGTCCAGCAGTTGCCCTTACCACATTTTTATCATATTTCTTGGCTGAGTCTCAGGCAGCATCAGACACCTCCTTTCAAGGAGATATCCAGGTACTGGGAGTGCGCCTTCACACACCATCCTCCTGCGGTTGCCTTACCTATGGGACAGTCTGGATGCACAAAGGCTGGGAGAGTGTGCCTATCCGTACTGCGTTTCTGCACAGTTACTGTGCACACACGGACACGTGCTATGTGCTATCTGTTACAACAGCTGGCTCGTAGCGGATAGGAAATGTGTTCTAAGTCCACCGAATGTCAGGCCAAGGTGAGAAGCACAGTGCACCTTCTCTGAATGGGGACATGGAAGCAAATGGTCTGCCTAGGTGACTGAGTCAGGCCTTTCAGGGACTGCTTTGTGACTCTGCCCACGTCTAACTGCTCATTCTCTCTAGGATGCATTTAATGCAGTTATTGAGCACCTGCTGTGTGCCCCTCTAGGTTCAAGCCTCTGGCAGTGTTCCAGGCAGGCACAATAGTTCCTTTATTTGGAAATCTTCATGCTTGCTGTGTGGATAGCAAGGCCTTCAGACCCTTTGGCAAAGCTTCTTGTCCCACTGGCCTTGAACACGGAAGAGGGGCTGAGGCTAGTGGGGACTGCCAGGGAGTCTGTGGTTCAGCAGTTCTGAATGATGTAGGGTAGGGAAGGGACTGACGGAGAAAGGAGGCTATGGCCTGGTTCTGGGTGTTGGCCAGAGAAGGGACCTGGAGAGCCTCTTGTTTTGCTGTAGCTACAGTCTCCCATTGCTCACTATCCTAGTTTGAGGCTGCTGGCATAGTCTCACACACACACACATACACACACACACACACACACACACACACACACCCCACACACGTGTATGCATATGGAAGACAGGGGGCAACCATAGAGGCTCCATGTTCCCCTGGCTTCACTGTGTGACTTTGGACATGGCTTGACCAGCACTGTGCCTCAGGAAACTCTGTCCAACATGGGACTATGCCTGCTGCTTCAGCCTCCAGGTCTTATGGTGATGGACCAGACAAGAGAAGAGGAAGGAACGGGGCCTACTGGTGTTGGGCCTATGGGTGTTAAGCCCTATTTGGTATCTACCCATAGCCCTCTCTAGCCACACACAGAGCCGGCAACCATTCTGTGATTTTTCAAGAAATTTCAAGACCCTAGGCTCTTGACTAGGGTAGAGAGGAGCCCCGGCTGTTGTCGGGGTTGAAGAAGTAACCACAAGAAGCCTTTCTAAAGCCGGCTGGCTCAAACCAGACTCTAAGCCCAAGGATGATTTAGTAATTTAATTTGGGAAGGGTGGATGGAGGGCCCCTATGGAAGGGCATCCTTCTACCAACCCATGGGGGTACCCTGCTCTAATTCTGACTCCCAGAATCAAGGGATTTTAGGAAAAAGGAAGGAATGTGCCATGTCCTGCCCCAGGGCCATCCGTGACTCTCTGGGACATTCCAGTCCTAAGCCTTTTAGGCAGAGAAGTTCAAACTAGAAAACCCAGTTTTGGGAGTGCAGCAGGACCACCTACCTCTGCCTGACCTAAGATACCCCCTCCCCAATAAAAAAAAAAAACACCCTTGTTTCTGGAATAGAAGCAATTACTGGGTGAGGGGGACAGGAGTGCTCAGGTAGAGGCCAGAACAACCCGGTCGGATTCATTAGGCTTCTTGGAACCCTAGATTGAAGCTTCCTGCCAGTTGGGGTTCCCCAGCTTGTCCAAAGGGAGAGCTGGGATACACTTGGGCTGGACAGCCTGCTGCCAGTGGCACACAACGGGAGGTACGGAATGCGGAACTTTAGGAGCTGGTAGGGCTCATGGCTGTCCTGGCCCATAGCTCACTTCACTGAGATATCTCCTGGATGCTGTCTGGCTCCTGAGAATGACTGAGCTGAGGGGAAGAAAAAGCTAGCAAAGTACTGTAGCAGCATCTAAGTCAAGACTGGGAGCAGAGGGCCAGCTTTCACTGCCTCACGGCCTTCTTTTCCCAGTAGCTGCTTTCCTGGGAGAAGTGCACTCCAAGGTCTGTCTTGGAGGTCAACAAATGCTGCCTCTGCATCCTAGAATCTTGGCGGCCTGGTCACTGTGCTCCAGTCTCTTCTCCTTCCCTGGCAGAGATGTGGAAGCCCAAAGCAGCCTGGGGAAAGGCAAGGGGTACAGCAAGTCATCTCCAGTGCTGTCCCCGCTGCCTGTAGCTTTTGTCCTTACCCTGGACTTGTGTCCTTTGCCATGGCTAGCAGCCACCTACCAAGGATGGACAGCAACCATCCTTTCTCTCTGGCCCTGGTGGGTTTTCTTTCTCTGGCCCTGGTGACTTTCATAGGTCACTGGGATGCCAAGAGAGCATCCAGGACTTAATTTCTCAAAGTGGGCTCAAGTATTTTTCAGGTTCAGAGAATTCCTACAGGCCGGAAAATCTTGGGACTTGGATTTCAGCCTAAGAGTTCCATTACTGCGATCTGGGCCTTGGGGTTCTGGCTTTGCTACAGCATCTCCAGTTTAGGAGGCTGGTCATTTTTAGAATCTGGAGACCCAGTTCTAGAGTAGTGGCTGTGCTCTTAGAGAACCTGCGTCAACAACCAAGCTCAGAGATAGCCGCAGAACGTCTTTATTAGACTTTGAGAAGAGCGCTTGGGTTTTGTCTCAGGGGAAAGGAAAAGCACAGATCGTGCCAGCGAGGGCAGGTAGCCCCTTGGTGCGGGCTCCTCCGAGCTTGGCGGCAGGACGTCAGGGTCTCTGGCGGGGCTCTGGTTGATGTGTGCTGATTTTCTGCGGCATTGCTGCCAGAACGAACGAACGCACGAACGAATGAAGCGGTTTCGTTTGGGAAAAGTACCCTCTTGACGCGAAGCTACGGTCAAAGTCCCAGGCCTTTCAGGGGGGCCAGTGTTTCCACTGGTGGTGGGGTCCCCGTTTCGTGGCGCAGAGAGGAGCGGCAGGAGATCCTCTCGGGTCCCTTTCTCACCGAGGCCCCCTGCGTGTAGCGCCGCCGCTAGAGACTAAGGGCTTCCCAGGCTGCACCTTCGCCGAGCCGAAGCCCGCATCCCCAAGGCTGCTACTCTCTTGGGGTGCCTGCGGCCGAGGCGCCGGGTGGGCACTCAGGTTAGGGGAAGGAGCGCCAGTGACGCCGCACCAGGGGCGCAGGAACGAGCTCCTCGCGCTGCCTCGATGGCGCCTGACCTTTCCCGCGTTGCGCTCTGTGCTGCGCAGCTGGCTGGACCCCACACACGCCGGGAGCGAACGGTGCACGCTGAGCCGCCACCTCCCCGCACCCCTCCACCGCGGAGACCCCGCGCCCCCAGCTGAGGTTCTTACCCCACCTGGGCAGCGCCGCGTCTATGGCTCGAAGGGTCCGGGCTCGCCCGCCGCGGACTCTGCCTCCCGTTGCGGCTCCGGCTGGGGCCCCTGATTCAACTCGGCCTCCGGCTCCGCGCGCGGCTCCGGTCCCCGCTGGTTCGCTACATCCCAGCGCGCAGGGTCGGGGCCGCCTCGGCCCGATCCGCTCCTCCCGCCGCCTCCGCCGCAGCCGCCCTTCGCCCGCGGGGAAGGCGGGGACACCGGCCCGGGAGGCGGGAAGGGGGGAGGGGAAGCGAGGTGCTCGCCCGCCCGGCGGGGAGGGGGCGGCGCGCGGTCCCACGGGCCAGGGGTCCCGCGATCCCCGCGGGCGCCGGCTCGGGTCTGCGCAGCTCCCGCCAGCCGGAGACCCGGGAGCGCGCCGGGGACTGCGTGCGCAGGGAGGGGCCCTGCGGCGGGCAGACGGGCCGCTGCGGGTCCCCCAGCTCTCACTCCCTGGGCTCAGTTTCCCACCTGGCACGTGTGGGCCCGGCCCGATTTCCGTTTAGCCAGGGTCTGGCCGGAATTTCCTGGGGTCCTGCCAGGTGACACTCGAACTGGGATTTTGAGATTCTACCTTTCCCCCTTTCCGCTCAGCCCTCGGGTGATTGGCAGGGAGGGTCCGCTGCGAAGAGCCTGGCAGGCACACAGGATTGCAGACAGACCCCAGGTTTCTCTGTGTGTAAAGGTGGTGGTGCGCTAGAGAGGATCGGTCGCCGGCCCGCCATACTGGGGCGGGGGTCCCCTCCTCCTCTGTCTCCAGCGCTGGACTGCCAGGGGCAGGGAAGACCCACACCAGGAGCGAGACCCTCGCGCAGCCCCCTTGTCAGCCCTGAACGCGCTCCAGCGGGCAAGCCGCTCGCAGCCAGCGAACCGGGAGGCCTGACCCGCGGGGCACCGTAGGCCTGCTCCCGGCTGGCGGCTGCTCGGAGAGGCGCAGGATGGAGGGGTCCTGCCCGCCACATACCCGCAGCCCACCGGGTGTCCAGCGCTGGTCAGTGGCCAGATAACCCTGCGCGTGAAGCCTCTCTGGGGAAAGCAGTTGGCTGAACTTGTTCCAGCTTCCCCAGGCGCCCAGGCAGCTTTCCGCTGTTGGGACTGTGGGATGCCACGACAAATCGGGTTGTGGCCTGTCACTTTCAGGGACAAGAGCGGCCAAGCCTGCCCACCAACGGCTGCTTCTGTGCAAGGTGTCGGCCTCGGCAGCGGCAGCGCGGCCGGCCGGCATTAATGTTTCATGAGGCGCAGTCACCGTGGCGCCTCCTGCCTGCTTCTCCGACAGCTGCCGCAGTCGAGGCCCCGGCTCCACGCGCCCACAGGTGCCTTGCTTGTCTGTGTCTCCAATGCCGCCTGGCTGGAGAATGCCGCCTGGGACCCCTGCCCCAGCCTTCAAAGCCGGAAGCCTGCCTAATCCAGACTCCCGGAGGAGGCCTGGGCAGTCAGGCCCTGCGGGGTGCCCCTTTGCCCTGTGGTGGTCTTGGTGGGGGAAGGGCATTCCACCCCCTCCCCTGGAGGGCAGAAGCCCCTCTCAGGTGAGTGTGTGGAGCTCCGCACATACAGGATTCTTGGGTTAGGAGTACCGATGATCAAAGCACAAACAGACCTAGATCTGGGTCTAGCCTGGCTGAAAAGCCATCTTACACTTGGGGCCTGTGCTGGGGGGATTTTGGCACTCCCCTCAAATCTCCTTTGGCTGTTTTACTTGTGAAAGTGGCCCGGTCTTTAGAACTGCCAAGCTCAGAGACTTCTATAACCACTTCCAACAATGTCCAACATCTTTGGCCATAAATACAACCTCTAGTCTTACCACGGAAAAAAGGACATGTATTTATCTGGGGTGACATTCATTCTGGTGTCTGCAGTGGAAAGCTGCACCTTCTTACGACTGCTGTGTCTCTAGCACATGATGGTTAGATTTGGAATCTTGTCAGTGTCTTTTACTGGTTGTGTGGCAAGTCATAGAACCTCTTCCAGCCTCAACTTCCGTATCTGTGAAGTGGGAGAATAGGTGCTCCCTCTTCCTGAGACATGGATAGGAAGATGAAGGTGAAGGATTTGGCTTCTGCGCCGAATGCTAAGTGTAACATCCTCCAGGTTGCTTTACTTTAATTTCTGTTTCCTCCGTTCTCCAGGGTGGTCATGCTGGTTGAGTCCAGGTGAGAACAGATCCCTTTTCTGATTTAGTGGACCTGCCTCTCTCCTGCTTAGCCACACAGAAGTTTCTCCTTAGAAAAGCTGGGAGTGTGATCAGGGCCTGGAAACCTGGACATTCTTAGTGAACTGGGATGGGCCAAAATACACCTTTTATGATCTCATTTTCCCTTCTTTCAGAAAGAATGATTCACAGTTTGCTTTGGGTTTGACATCTTGGTGGATATGTGTATCTATTGTGAAGGCGGAGGTTCAGGGGTCAGGGAGTGCAATGTTGGGGCTGCATCCATTGTGGACAGACCCCGAGTCTCACCTTAGCATTGTCCTTCCAGGTGCTCAGTCGGAGAAGGTCAGCAGAATTGGGTGACACATTTACTTTGTGTCTTCTTCTGAGCTAGCATGCTTCCTCTAATTGGAGTTTTTCTCCTACTACAGAATTCTAGGATGAATTATCATGTGGGTTCACACAAAACATAATGGGCAAAATGAACAAACAAGCAAACCAAAAACATCATGGGCAAATCCTTCAGCCATAATTACGTGGAAAGCCATAACAATTCTTCAAACAGGATTTCTTATATCAAGACCTAGTAAAAGCAGGGAGAGTGTCCCTTTCCTTCGTCATTTTTATTGCCATAGTATTGGCATTCGTTTGTGTAACAGTGATTGTGTAACCGGTTGTTCCTACCAATTGTAAGTTCCTTGAGAACAGGATCAAGCCTCTTTTGTCAACCCTAGAACCCCTCCTAGACTGGACAATCCATTTTTGAACCGGTCACTTCGGGGGAGAAGAATGGCACAGGGCTGTTGGCCAAGGTCACAGGCTTGTCCCCAGAAAAGGAGGCTTCTGCTAGGGGAAGGAGTAATCACCACACTCCCCCAAGAGTCCTGGAGCTCCTAGGAGCAAGTTCTCTGAGCCAGTGGCAGGGAAAGAGATGGTTTCTAAGGAAGCCCCTCCCCTGTGGGAGTTCCCAGGGCTGCTGATGTTATGAGTGGAGTCCACCCCGGAGGGACAAGCAGGCAGAAGCTCTGCTGGCAGCTTTAAGTCAATCAGAATTGTTCCTGCACTCACCTGTGGGTAGAGGTGTGTGTGGGGATGACAGGAAGGTCTCAGGGGAGGCTCAGTGTCTGTTAATACTAACAGAGATGAATTCATAGAACAAGGGAGGGTTTATTTGTATCCCCTCTTCATTTTTGAGGAGTGAATTGGAAGCTCTAAAAGTAAAGAGGTCCCACTAGGATCAGCTAAGATATTAATGTATTTCAGCATTATTTTATCACAAAAAGGGAAGCAATTTGGGCATCTCCAGCACTATTTTTCCATTGCAGTTCTAGTCCTGGCCTGGAACTTTCTCAGGTTGGCAGAAGTTTCAAGCAAATATATTAGGTGCCTGTCCTTCTGTGACTGTGGTGGCTCCTGCTCATTTGGTTTGAACCAAAGAGGTGGACACACTAACCATTCATCAGTGCTGGGGAGCTAATCTGCTGCTTGATGTTGAAGGATCTCAAATGACATTCTAAGAAGTTGCCTGGGATAGCTTTTCTACTCTGATACCCCTCTCAAGAAAGTGTCATCTGAAAAAAAAGAAGTAGTATGTGCAAAGGTTCTGTGGTTCTCTTGACAATCTAAAAAAAAGTTGATAGTGGGCACCTATCTTCTGGAAACATGGAGAAAGCAGAGTATGTCGGAAAAGAAAGTTGGAGAATTCAGTGGGAACTAGATGCCTCAGGGCTTCGTAATTCTCAGTTGAGAAAGTGAGACGTTGTCCTGAGGGCAAAGAGGAACAGATAAAGGGTTGGGATGGTGTCAGATTTGGTCAGATTTACATTTTAGAAGGCTGTTCCTCTGGGTCTGGGGTAGGGCACATGCTTAGTATGTACAAAGCCCTGAACTTGATCCCCAGCATCAGAAGGAAAGAAAAGAAATAAAAAGAAAGAAAGAAGACTCTCTGCCTAGACAGTGGAGGATGGACTTGGGGAGGTGGGTTAGGGACAGATTATTACAAGGTCATTCACTCAGTCATTCCCCTGCCCTGCTTTTCCAGCTGTCTGTCTGTCTGTTTATCAACTGTAAGCATAGGAGGACACAGGACAGTCTGACACAGGACATAAGGAGCTAAGAAGTTACAGCCCTGCTTTTTCTGGGCTGCCCTGTTGGAGGGCTTGGTTTGACTATCTGTAAGGTCAGGGTTAGGCTATCTTGCTCCCTGGCTCGGTGGCCAGCACCTTAGCAGCTGTCCAGGTGTCTGCTTCCTGCACTGAGGAGGCAGGGAGCTTGGGGCCTGAAGGGGCACAGCCACTACTGAAGACAATTTGGGGAGCCAGCATGGTGCACAGTCCTGTCAGAAGCTTTTAAAATAATTATCTCAGTCTGTGCTGGCTGGCTGACGGCAGACTATTAGCCCTGAGTTGGAAATTCTGAATTGTTTCATGACAATTGGAAACATGATTGGAGACCAACCAGGGGGGAACTGCCCATGAAATATTTATGTTTCCTCAGTACTGTGGGGCTGGTCCCCTTCAGCCTGGGAACTCTGGATGCACGGAGGGGGTGGCTTTTGAATGACTATCATTATGCTTGAGGGGTCGTAGGGCTGATGCCCCTGAGATTTTTTTTTGAGGTCCTGGGGGTTGAACCCAGGGCTTTTGCAACAAGCTACAGCCCCAATCCTTTTTAATTTTTTATTTTGAGGCCAAGACACTAAATCAGTTGCCCAGGCTAGCTCAAACTTGCCACCTTCTGCCTCAGCCTCCCAGAATTCTGGGATTATAGACATGCACCACCACACCCAGTTGAGAAGGATGTGCTTTTGTGTGGAGTTGAGGTTGGTTTGGGGACCTGAACCTGCTACTGCGTGCCTCCCAGCTGTGCACTTAGTACTCCAGCCTCATTACCAGACTCTAGTGGAGCAGCATTTGGGTTTGGAGAGGCTGTGTGTTCACATCTGGTCCACATTCTTCCCCGTAGTGAAGGCTTATGGCAGGTCAGTCTGGCTGTGAATCCCGTTCTTCCCTCTTAG